TGCTATAAACTTTAGTCTATTTAAGTATACACACACAGACACATACACATGCAGTAATTATGTATGTGTTTCTATTGTTTTCAGATTTGCTTATACTGATTTGTTTTTAAATTTATTATTATTTTTTTTTTGGTACCAGGGATCAAACTTGGGACCTTGCACTTGGGAGGCAGGCACCAGAACCACTGAGCTAAATCCCCGACCCTTATATTGATTATTTTTACAATTCAGAGGTGGGATGCATAGATTTACTTTGGAGCTAGCTTTTAATTTTTGTGCCGTGATCACCAAACAAAAATAAAAGCTGGCATTAGATTAAATGCATGGATCTCTTCTCCGAATGGTAAAACTGCTCAGTACAAAGAAACAGGGTGTGCTCTTAAGTATCATTTCATACTCCATCTCAGAGAAATCCCTAACTGGAACCGTCCATGTAAGGTAATCTTGTTATCTACTCAACCTTTTGGTTTCCTGTTTTCTTTTCCCACACTGCTGATGAGAGATGGATTTCTCCATTGTAAATCAAAACTGTCAAGCAATTCCAGTGGGGTTACATATGTATGAAGTAATTTCCATGCTTTCAGAGGACTGTGGAAATGCATAGCTCTCTTGTGCCAAATCAATTCTTCAGTAACACGATTAATTAACCTACAAGAACAGAAGTTTGAATGCTGTTACCTTGAAATGCACTAACCTTGTATTTTGGTTTTAGGCCTTACCTACTCTTTCATACCAAAATTATTCTATTGGATTCCTTCAAAACCTAGGGCAAATCAATGATGTTTGAGTTTGTGCTTTACAATCCTTTCACTGCAATCACGCTGTGAGTTTTATGGTCAAATTTACGCAGCATACACTCCCCACTTCAGCAAACCTATTACATTGCTCCAACATTAGTGGAAATAGCACAGACATGCTTAGTTAAGCTCCCACCTCATTTATTCCCACTCAGTTTGTCTTTCCTCCCCAGAAGCAGGAAATAGTTAAAAGGATTTTTGAATACTATAAATGTTTTTCTTCTATTATGTAAACATTTACTGAAGTTTGTGGCATCTTCTCTTTCATCAGGTATAAAAAGTAATATATGGACTCTGACTTAAAAATCCAGAGTCTTTTAGGAGTGACACATTTCCTATCCTCCTATCCAAATTAATTGCACATATAGCGTGATTAAAAACTTTGTTGAAAGGTATGCAGTAATAGAGGGCTGGGGTAGGATTTTAGAGCACGACCCCTCTCAGCCTTCTTAACCTCCAGAATTTTTGATAAAAATACCCCAAATCAACAACAGACAAAAACCCAACTATCCAGGCCAGTTTTCTATCTTCTCATTTCCCTCCCTACTCCACCTGAGTTACTCACTTAGTTGCTGATACCGAGTGAGACGAATTAGTTTTAACCAGAATTCTAATTTTCATTATCACGTGGATAATGGAAGGCCAAAGAAGGTAGGACCAGAAATCAAACCTCTAAGACCTAGTAACCCAGATCATCAGAAGCAAATCAATTAGTTGATGAAAACAGTGACCTGGTGAATATCGGGACTGGACACAGAGGTCAGCACGTGTCTTGGGGCGGGAGCTCCTGTTCCACCACTTGGGAGTGGAAGAAGGGCTGGGCTGCTCTGCAGAAATGAAGGAATGACATCTCCAGGTTGGCAGTCCCAGGCACGGGGAAGGCGGGATGTGTTCACAGAAAGAGCGAAACATGAACAGAGCCTTGAAGGATGTGCAGGAATGGGATGAGGAAAGGCAGCAGGGAGAACTTCCCAGGCAGAAAGAGCCTTATATCTGAGTGACTGTCGGGGCTGAGAAATAAGCCTGGAGAGGTCAAGGGCTCACGTTGCAGAGGGTACTAGGGAACAACTGAAGAAGAGCAAGGAGCAAAAGAGAATCAAATTCATGCTTTAGAAAGGGGACTCTGACAGAAGTGTGGTGGATAGATTAATGAGGACAGGTGTGGCATAGGAGAAAACCAGTGCCTGTATTGCAATCATCCTGGCAAGAGATGAGACAAACCAGAAAAGAAATCAGGCAATGTTTGCATGGGACAGAGAAAAGGGAATATACTTACGAAATGTTCTAGAAATAGTACATGAGTTGTTTTGTATCCCAAACTCACCAGTTAGGTAAATCACTGCCTGGTGAAGAGAAAGAGGTCAAAAGTGTCACTTTGATGAAGCTGCCTCCACGAGGATCAAAACATCAGGAATAGGGAATGGTAATCCTGACCAATATTATTCTCAGTCAACCTTTAGTTCCTTCTTTTATTTGGGGGTCACTGCTGAACTCTGTGGGGCTGTCTTAGTCTGTTTGGGCTGTTATGAGAAATATCTTAGGCTGGGTAATTCATAAATAATAGAAATGTATTGCTTAGAGTTCCCGAGGCTGGGAAGTTCAAGATCAAAGCACCAGCAGATTCAGTGTCCAGCACTTCAAATATGGCACCTTCTTGCTGTGTTCCCATAAGGCAGAAGAGACAAACACTTGTGTTAAGCATCTTTTATAAAGACACTGATCTCATTCAGGTGGGTAGAGCCCTCATGTTCTAATCTCTTTTCAAAGTTCTACCTCTTAATACCATGGCCTTGGGGGTTAGGCTTTAGCATTTGAATTTTGAGGGGTGCAAGTACTGTCCAAGTCTGCATGTGGCTGGATGTATCATGCAATCATTTCCAATCCAGGGGAGTGAGGAATGGCTCACAAGAGTAATTGGGGTTCTGTTCCTCCCAGAAGCTTTGGTCAGGTGGGCCCAGGCTTCTTTCTCTGAGTCCCTTGAAATATTTGTTCTTTCTTTCCTCTCCATAGCCAGGGGAATTATTTCCTAGACAGGAGTAGGAAAGCCTTGCTTTTCCTCATCGTAGTGCTCTCAAATCTTTGATCTATACCACAAATCCTTTCCAGCTCCCTAAGGATCTGGACTTTTGAAACTCAAAAGAACATGCATTCCTTTACTTCCTGATCACACCCCTTTTGAGGCAACAAAAGGAACTAACAGTTCAAGCACAGGATAAAAAGTGGAAGAAATAAAATAAACGGAAAAGCTTCTGATAATTTCAGTTGTATGTCTTTTGCATAGAATATACATGAAGCTACAGTCACATCTGTCTTGCATGGTATCCTAGTACTTAACAAAGTGTGCAGCACTTAGTGTCTAAGTGAATAAAAGAGAAAAAAGGTAAGTGTTAAAATGAGAACTAAGTCTTAGTTTGAGATTGTACATTACACATTCCATTTGGCAAATGTGTTGAACACTTACTATGTGACAAGCACTGTACTAGATCTGGATGCTGAATAAGATAGACAAAATCCCTGCCTTGATGGAGATCACTCCTATCATTACTCCCATCATCGAGGAAGACAACAACCAAAGCAAATTCATGACCATGAGTAATGTAAAAGGAAGAAACAAGGTGAAGTGATAGAATGGACAGGAGAATAGAAATATGAAGAGAGGGGGAACAGAGTTCCTGATCTGATCGTCCAACCCAGCCCCAAGAGAAAAAAACTAAACTTAAAAAAGGAATAAAACTAGTATGTTTAAATGTAAAAAGTCATATGGAGAAAGCAAATCCATAATTTTGTTTAATATTCATAAAACAATCATGCAGACACAGTGATATTACATGTAGATAATTGTGGTTAAAACACCTTGGGTATTTCATTTTTAAAGTTCAGTTCCACAGGCATATGCCGTTCAATGTTCTTTTCATCTCCTTGAAAGTTCTATGCAATGGACTGTAAGTTGTTTTAATGTTGGTTTAGTGCTTTCTGTATATATATCATAAAAATGTCAAGTGTGTTGACCCTTCAGAAAGTTGCATTTCACTTAGCAGAGAAAATAAAAATGTCCCATTTCTCCCTAGAAAAAAAATAACATTTTCTAATTGTGCAAACACTTCATGAGTGTCATTTGACTCCATATTTTGACAGCTGCTTTGCATTTATTATTGGAGAGGCTCTTCATGCAGTCTTTTTTTTTCCTAGTCAAGGAGTATTAACATTATTTTGGATTATTCAAATCTAAGAGACTCCTAAAAACCAAACCTCTCTTTAAGGAAAAATAAAAGCCTTTAAAAAAAAAAAGAAAAAAGGAAAAATTTTAGTTTATCAGCTCCTTGATTTGGGAATCAGTTCTATTCAGCATGGTAATGTGAAAATTCCCATTTTGTCTGTCATTGAGTAGGCAGTCAGGAAATGTTTATGGGGCTGAATTGGCTTGGGATGAACAGGTACATCCTCTTTATACAGGCAGGGAAACTGAGGCCCTAAAAACCTTATTGGTGCATTTTTATTGTGCTTTGTATTTTGCTGAGGGCTCTCATCCAAGTTAGCTCATTTTAGAGTTAGTTCCGACCAGCATTACATGTGAAGTAGGAGAAGGTGAGAGTAATGATGGGTTTGATACAAAGTCACTTCTAGAACGTACTACAGGCAGTGAGTCAGTCTCTGTTGCTAAAGGAAATCTAAAAGCTCACGATCAAAACGTGCAGGTGTCTGGACAATGATGGAAAAGTTATTCTTTTAAGGACAAAAAAATCAGAAAAGCCATTGTTAATCTTTCGACCAAAAAAAGCTGTATTGTATAGAGAAAAAAAACCCTCTTACATACTATTGGTAGTGGAAATTGGTCCTACATTTATGGCAGAGAATTTATGACTATCTACCGAAATTAAAATGAACATCTTTGACTGTGCTTTGACCATCCTTCAACTTAGTGATTAACTTTTATGAATTTATTCACTTTACAGATATATTGGCACTAGAGCACAGGGATATATAGATAAGGAAATGGATTTGATAAATATATAATGTTAACTGCAGCATTGTTAGTTACAGAGGAGAACTTAAAACAGCTCAGTGCTCATCAATAAACTGTTGACTGGGCCGGGGATTTAGCTCAGTGGTTTCGCTGCCTGCTGCGCAAGCACAAGGACCAGAGTTCCATCCCCAGTACCAAAACAATAACAACAACAACAACAACAACAAACAAACAAAAAGCCTGTTGATTGCACAAATTGAGTTATTTTATGCACTCATTCAAAATATGACATCAGCATGACATAAAAGGTTGATCACAATATACTCAGTTAAAGGCAAGCTGCTTTTCTTTTAGTAAAAACATTCACCAAAGTTTTGACAGCAATCTCTGGAAAGAGGGATGTACTATTTATTTAATTTACTCCTTTACACAGTACTTGATCTTAAGTGAAAATAGATGACTTTCAAAATTTAAAAAGCAATTGTTTAATTCTGGCTACCTAAGAGGTCTGTTTGTTTAAATCAACAGTTAAGTAGAGCCAGGAATTGGTTAACTGTTGCCCTACTTTGCCAGAATGCCTAGTGAGTCCATGCCATACTGTTGGTGCTCAGGGAATATTCTGCTGGAATGCATGAGTAAAAACAGCTCATCCTGGACACTCCAGGAAAGGGAGGTGGAGGGACATAATGATGTTCTCATCTTCTACCAACATTGGAGTCAGTGGGCCAATGGAGAGGAGCTTATGATGACTTCATCCCAGGGTTCATTTATGTTAAAGAAAGACTGGCTACCTAAATATCAACCCACAAAAAAGATTTGGGGCTTCTGTTAGCATTGGCAAATGATTCTTACTGAGCCCGTGCAGTAAAATTCTTTGAGCATCTGTCTCTTAAAGCACTTATCTGTTGGTCTTAAAGCACTTATCTGTTGGTCTTGGGTTCACAGGTGCATACAGAAGAGGGTATCACAGAGAGCACTCAGTTGGTCCCGCTGACTCAGGTGATGCAAATCAGCAGCATTCCTGCAAAGGGCTCAGACGGACTGAAATCCATAGGGGTTGGGCTTCCACTTTCTCCTGGGGGATTCTTTTCTGATGAGTTCTAGCTACTAGGAAGCTCCTATGACACCGAACTGGAATCTGCTACCCTACAAAGCTGACCAAAGCCAAGTAGCTCTGCTCAGTGGTTTAAAGAAAGGGTGCTGGCTGGAATCAAAGACTTGCCCTGAATCCCAGTTTCTACACCTATGTGCTGTGTGACTACTGGGGAAAGACTCTCGGGACTTTCTAAACCCAAGCTGTTTCTTTTCAAAAAGGGGACAGTTACAGTTTCTGCCTTATGTAGTGGGTTTAAGAAGATAATGAAATAATATATGCAAACTGCCTATCACAGTGTATGGGAAAAAGGTTCAGTAAATACCATTATGACTTTTATAGGCCTTTTCCTTTAGGCATTTGACAGAAATAGGGAGAAAAGTGGCATAGAGAGCAGTGGAGATATAAGGTGTTAGTGGCCTGCATGCTTCAGGGCTGTGAGTTCAGTGACTTGCACAACTTCTGTGTTTCCTCCAGGGAAGCAAGGCAGAAAATGCTCCAGGTAGTGGATGGAATTTCAGTAATTTGGAAACAACAAAGGTTGCACTTCCACAATTACACTGTGAATGTACAAACATAATTCCAGGGTTTGAGAGTCATTACCTCTGGGGGGCCATAGCACAACAGCTCCCTCTGGGCTGCTCTCAAAACTGGTCTCCCTGAAACTTCCTAATACCCAAGCTGGTGTCAGGAGAAGAACAGGTCTTCTCCAGACATTCTGGAGGAGCAGCCATTCTGCTTGTGATCTGACTTCATAATATTTCTCAAGACAGAAATCATAAATCCTGAATGCACTCAGGGAGGTATGGTTGAATACAGTATCTACAGGTACTTACCATATATATCTTGTGTGCCATGGGAAATTCAGGTGAGTAGGAGACTTGGGATCTAGGTCTAGTTAACGTTGCCCCAGCCAACAAATCACTGTATGAGCTCTCAGCGTCTTGGCTTACTCATTTCCTCAGTGCTTAGTAGTGATGGTTCTTACACTATGTTCTTAGGAGCTCAGGGTCTGTACAGCAGTGCCTGGGGGATGCTTGCCCTGAGATCTTGGTCTCCATTTTATTATAAGCAGAAGAGTAATATTTTTAAAGACACTCCTCTTTTCATCACTGCCCCTCACACATTCCTGATCAGGGCATCCTCTCCTTTAGGGAAATACAAGCTGCTAGAAGAAAGCTATTGGAACGACATCAAAAGCAGTGCCCTACCTGGTAAGTTTTGGGGAGGAAAGGGGAAGGGGTTATAGGAAGAGAGTAATGGGTTATGCTGGGGCTCTGTGTGACGTTGAGGGGCCTCTGGATCTCGGTGGAATGCACAGCTGTGGAGCCAGCTGCGTCAACAGAACAATGGTGCCCTGTGTGTTGGGCTGTGGGGTTCCTCTGGGGGGACAGTGGGGTGCAGGGAAGGAGCCAGGGTATGGAATGAGAGGACGGGTGTGAGTCTCAGCTCTGATACAGGACGCTTTCACTCTCTGCATTGCTATTTCCCTAACCAAATCCCCAAAACAATGTCTACTACATGAGCCTAACAAGCATGTCATGTGGTTTAAATAAGATAAGGTCTGAAAAGCATTTTGTAAATTAGAAAATCTCATAAAGATGTAAATTGTATTCAGTAACCCATGAGATAGATGTCTAAATATAATCCTTATACCCTAAAAAGCTTGCTAAGATCAGTTTCCTAGGATATATATATATAAAAGGGTAGTGAATTTTCAAGTAAATGAAGTGTTTTACTATGTTCATGTTTCAATATAAATCTTAATTATAAAACCATCATATCTGATATAAAATAACAAGCTAGCCATAAAACTACAAATATCTAATTATATATGAAAAAAGTATACATGTTCTAAAATCTATATGTGATTTCAAAAAATATGACTAAATTATTCTTAAAGAAGTACTGTAGTGGCAGCTAACCTTTTAACTGTACACAGTAATATAAAAAAGTTCTACAAAACACCCTAAATCCAGTCTCTATTTCACCCTCCAACAAGTAGTACACGCTTCCCTCCGGCTTGAGACAGCTGTGTCTCAAGGTTGGTGGTCTTGTGTCTCGGCTTCCGGCATCAACTCTTCGGGTCAGAAAGTTCTCTAGGGCAATCCTCTTCATTCTCCTCTGAGCAGGACAGGCTCAGGACACTCATCACGGGATGCATCCATGACGTAGTCTGTGTTACGTGACTTGAGAAGAACAAAGAATCCAAATTAGAACCTGAAAGATGGCCTTGCCACCCATCCATCCAAGGGCCAATCCTGGTGACACCGATTCTACTCTACTGTGATTAGAGCAGGATCTAGTAGTATTAATAAGTCTTACATATGTTTTAGGGTTCAAAGAAATCCATTCCCTTCTTCCTTCTTTGGTAACAATGAATGCAGGTGAATGTACTATCTTTAATTCCTCTTTTTTCCTTACCCGGTATCGTCAGTCATCAAGTCCTATGGTTGTTGAGGTATAACATTCCTGGAATCTGTTCCCTCTTCTCCTTTTCCAAGGCAATACCTGAGTCATTGGAGTAGTTTGTCTCTCTACTTCTGTTCTAGCTCTTTTCTAATTAATTATTAATTCTAGCCTAGAGATTTTCCTAAATGACAAATCACATGCTGTCCTTTCACCTACTAAAGGTCCAGTTCCAACCATGGCTTCTGGGTCAGATACACACTTTAACACATGAAATATCTTGTTTTTAAAATTTGCTCCAACAATGCTTTCTTCTCTGCCACAATCCTCCTTCCTGGGGAGTTAACTCATTTTAATTCTAAAGAACCAGATCTCCCTTAAGATCCTTCCAATCTGTACCCATGGTCTTGTCTCTTATTATAGTGTATTATTTATGCCTGTTTATTTTTAGGACTTTTCACTATATATGAAGGTCCTCTAGGCCAGGAACTATGTTTCTTGTCTCTGAGTTTATGATGCCTGACATGTTCTCAGAACAAATGACCGGCATCCTGGAAAGCATTTGAAGAACACAATCAGAGACAGGGCAGGAGGTACCAAAGATGTTGTGCATGTTTGGGGGGTAGTAAAACAACATCACGAAACCGCACTTCTGCCTGATGGATGTTGTTTTTCAGACCTTCTCTTACTCCCAGATTCCACCTGGATGAATCTCCTGTATCCACCTCCATCACAGCTTCTGAGAGTTGGAGCAACAGCTTCTGTGGGATAGAGATTTGTTTCTTCTCCTTTGAAATTCTTTCCAGCTCCAGTTTACCCCCCTGCTCCCTCTCACCCTAGATCAATTTCTCCATCCTCTGTCCTACAAAACTCAAAGTCAGACGCAGCATCAGGTCTTAAATCAAGTGTACCCGAAGGTCAGTATCAAAGAAGATCAAATAAGGCTGTGGAGCGAAGGCATCTTCTGTAGTATAGAGCAACATTTTCCAAAGTGGGATCCAAGAATTTTAATAAATGCTATGTGAAGAATAGACGTGTACAGTCAAATCAACTTCAGATTCACTATGTTACATACAGTCAAATAGGTTTTTTGGTACACTGTAGGATTTTCCAGAACCTTTTGTATGCTAATGTGCTCTATCAATCTCCAAGAGAATGCAATATTGCTCAAACTAACATGCCCCTGTTGGTACACATGGGGTTAGTGTTCCATATAATATAAATTGGAAGTTATCACCAAAACGTACTCCCTTAAGTCGGATGTGATGGCATGTACCTGTAATTCTAGCACTCTGAGATGCTGCAGCAGGAGGAGAGCAAGTTGGAGCTCAGCCTGGGCATTTTAGTGACTTAGTGAGATCCTGTGCCAAAATATAAAATAAAAACAAGGGGTGGGGATGCAGCTCAGTGAGAAGGCTCTGAGTTTAATTCTCAGTACTAAAATATTTTTTATAAAAAATGTACTCACTTTATTGGCTATTGATGATAGTAGCTGAAAAATGTCAGAATTAGCAAAAATGGACAGTTCCATTGCCATTATTGATTTGGTTTGTTTTTAATTCCTTCAGCTCCTTTGTTTAAATAAGAAAAATGTATTTTTTCATGGAGGAAGCTTACCGACACCTACTTTCACCACAGGGTAAGAGCCAGGGTGAAGATGACAAGGTCCAAACATCTTCAGAGTTTCAGAACCTCAGAATGTGGGGAAGTGGTACAAAGGGTCATTATTCCCTGGACAGTAATCCATATTATTATTCTCTTTTAAAAATGGTTTAAAGGAATTTTTTTTTTATTGTGAAGGGTAAACATACTAAAGCATTTGAATCAACACAGGTTAATTTCATTTTGACGCCTTTCTAAAGCTGGAAAGCTGCCCATACTGAAAGTGGTTTTAAAGAAACATTAAGGAGAGTAACATAAGAGGGCTGCAAGGTCTCTGCAAGGTGAAACGAGGACACATCATCCTGTGCAAAGTACATGTTGGAAAGGAAAAGCTTAGCGAGACCGCTTGGCTTATTTTAAAATCTCGGTGCCCATATCTTTAATGTTTATCACACATTTGCAATATGTTGATCCAAAGAAGAGACTCTAATTTCAATTATTGTAAATCATCTCCCCCTATTATGTTCCCACATTGGGAAAGAGAAGGAAGAAAAACAGGAACAATGATCAGGTACAAGCTTTGCTATTTGACATTTAAGAGATAATATTTACCAGTTGAAAACTGTAACAGCCTACATAAGGGCAGTCCATTCTATTGATAATTTAAAACAATGAAAATCAAACTGTGTAAGAAGAAAAAATGTAATTATAGAATCTGAACAATGATTGGTACAAAGAACAACCAGAAAGTCATCCTTGCCAGTCGCTTCCATTAAGCGCTTTTTATCAACAAACCAACATCTGATCTTACTCCAAAAGCAACTGAAACACCATAAAATGTGATTAATCTTGTATTTACTGTATTTTTTTTTGTACATCCTTTAAACACACACATAGCCCTAAGCACCAAACATGCAACGACAGCATCACTCACTAGAAAAAAGAAACTGAAGCAACAGAGAGATACTTTCTGTGGCTTAAGAACACATTTCATAGGGGGCCGAAGATTTAGCTCAGTGGTTCTGCCACCTGCCTTGCAAGCGCAAGCTCCAGAGTTCGATCCCCGGTACCAAAAAAAAAAAAAAAAAAAAAAGAAATGAAAAGATGACATGACA